AGAGTATTGCATAGCCCCATGAATACATTCGGCTGAATGGCAAAATCCCCATAGTTTCACCTTTTGGGATATGAAGGAAACTGATTCCAGTGACTGCAGCAGGGACCAAACATTAAGATGCTCAACTCAGTCACCTAACATGCTATCACATTTGTGTATTATACACACATACTCCTGTGTATAATAAATAATCTACAGGTTAGGTATAATCTTGAAACAATGTAAAAGTTACTTACAATATTGAAACAATGGAAATATTATGTGAATAGTTGTGAAACTATATAGCCTAGTGAATGATGACAAGAACAAGTTTGGACCAGTGAAGAACAAGACAGTTTCTCCCTAATGGATGAATCTGAAGATATGAAACTCATTGAAACTGAGGGCTGACTTAATATAGGACAATTTAGTGCTGGGCAGTATAATTAATGAATGAATCAGAAAGCAAGCACATGCAGGACAAAAACAAAGCCACCCCGTCCTTAGACTGCTTAAAGTATTTTATTACCACCATTTATTGGCATCACCAGACTAAAGTCAGCAAATACCACCAAAAGAAGCTGGTCTCACTTGCCTCATAAGAACTACAGAGACTGACCCTTTGAGAGACACCATTATGTCTCTCAAGGTTTGGGTTTCATGCCATTCTAAGTTTTGATAATTATACACTACTGGGTATATTAAAATTATTTACAATTCCATTAAACTATCCATCAGAAAATACACTCTGTTTTCCTCTTTTCAATTAACCATGACAGAAAGTGGTATGCCTTCCATTTGTTTCAAACTACAACCTCAAAGGTAAAACAGGAAGAAAAAAAAAAAAACTAGCTTTTTCTTGTGTGTAGTACTTATTAAATGGCACAATCTTCTATTCTTATGAGGGTTGGAAGGAAGGAGGGAGGGAGGGCTCAGTTTTTAAGGGTTAAAAGTATGTAGTGCTCTTATAAATCAGACTGATTTATTTCCAAAAAATTCATTTTGAAACTAAGTTTTTATTTCTTGAAACAATACACATAAGTCTATCTTACAAAGGCAATTAAAAGGGTAAATGTTCCACTTTTTTTGTGGAAATTGAGGCAGGTTGAGCACTACTGACTCGAAGCACAAGATCCAAGAAGTCACTCCAGATCAAGTTATGAAATTAATGCTATATCACAATTCTCCCCCCCCCCCCCCCCGCCCGTGTCCTGCAGTACTTATGAGGCTCTTTTTGTTTGTCTTATTTCTTTGCCTTCTGGTACACATTTACGTTCAGTCACAGACTTGGACTCATACAATCAGTTTGAAGAAATCACAATCACTTTCCACCCACCCACCTAGCTCTTTGGTCTACAAGGTGTCCAATACACAAAGCAGCCAAACCATTTTCACTGTCTCTAATGGGCCACGGAGACCTGGCTCTCTGCTCTCTGCTCTGTGTACGCTTTTGTTGCCTACCCACTTCCACAGAGAAGAACTGATACATTTAAAAACAAAATTACAACCACCAGGGCTCTTGTGTACCTGGTCTCCAAACATCATTACCCACCACAAACCGGGCCTCTACCTCCTTGCTTCCCAGAGGAACCTCATGGGAACAAAGGAGATAAACAATACACAGTACAGAGCAGGAGCTGAGAAGCCAAGGGCTGTTAGTTTCCAGATTGGAAGCGGTCCCATGTAAGGAGAACCTCACAACAGGCACGGAATGAAGCCTCTTGGCCTGTACTAGCCAGCACTCCACACCATGCGGCAGGAGCTAATATAAGGAAATTCCTCCCAATTTACAGCTTAAGAACCATCTGTTCCATGCGATCGCTTCCTTCTCACGTTTCTGCTTTAGAAGATTTTAAATTTCCAGACTTGTGTCTTGTTAAAAAGCCTGGCGGGGACTAGCTCAGGCCCCTTTCTATTCTTCCACCTTCAGCCAAGAATCCTTTAGAAGAGGGACCTGCACTCTCATGAGATGGCAAGCCTGTCCGCACCGCACCTGCTCTTGGCCTTCCCATGCATCACAAGTATAAGAAATGAATTCCCACTCTTTGTAAATTACCTAGTTTATGTATGTTATTATAGCCACACAAATGGACTGGGAACACACAATGTACTTAGGACTATTTCAAGCCTGGGGGGGGGGAACAGAAAACAAACATCTATGCTAAGAGCTATTATATAAAATATACAAGACAGCATTGTCAAGATTGAGCTCCTGTGCCAGGCCCTATGATACGAAGCATTTTGTCCTTGTTTTAGACTGCAAACAATAATGAACCAAAACTTTGGCCTCAAGTCATTATAAGAAATTATAGTTTCATTGATGTGAATTTCAAGCTTCTATATGAAACACACTGTCAACCTAATACTGTTCTGGCAAGATATGCGATCTGTGTAAACAAAGTTTATTTTAATGTTAAAAAAAATTTCAGTGTGCTAGAAAGAGGTAACCAATAGACTGAAATGCAAATTAGTTCTTGAAACATTTGACAACAGGTAAATGTACATATCGTTTTGGAATTTAAGCTACAAGTTAGTATTTATCCCTTTAGTGTAACCTAGCTTGTTTTGCAAACTATTCTTTTAAATTGCCTTCATCATCACTAGTTGCAGAATACTGAAGGTAGCCCTCAGTGTGACTGCCATGCCCAAAATCATTCTTCCAAATTCAGCAAATAAAATAGATCTGAGGCCAAGTTAGCTTCTTGTTCCATCAAAATACAAAGGCAAATGCTTGTAAAGGCAACAATACTTGCATGTTGACTGTAAAATGACTCAAAGATTCAAAATGGTTTTGAATAGCAGTGGCCCTGTTCCAGAAAACACCTACCCTCCTTAGGTGGCTGTCTCTTTAAATGCTTCAACCACACAGCATGTTTAGGGGTGAAAAGAATTTTCTAACTGAAGAGTTGTACTATAAAGAAAAAAGCCAGCTCCCAGTTCAAATGATTTTCTAGATCAAACATCATTTTTCAACTATCCCTTTTTTTCTCCAGACACCTGAGTGGAGGTCGCTAAAGGAAAGATTAGGCAAACTGCCCTCTAAAATTTGTGTGGTGCAGTCTGAAAAAATTAAGTAAAATGTTTAGCTTAAGCTCCTTGCTGAAAAGGCAACATATGCCTTTTCAAAGTATTATTACACATGTAGGAGTATCATAAAATATCACAAAGGACTATTAGAATGATTACTAATTATCGCATTCCTTGCCTGGAAAAATTCCTGCCTGGTATATGGGATTCACTTATTTAAAAAGAGTTCTGACTTCAGATACACTTATAAATAAATGTTCTAGCTAACACTACATAGAAAGCAAAAGCAAGTTTGTCTTTTAGATGAAAGCAATTTTAAAAGCCTAAATATAAATGAAAGCAAACTTGAGCAATAAAAGAAACAATTTAAAGGCAAACCTCAGGGAAACTGGTTAACTGTTGATAGCTGTGGGGAGATAAGAAAACGACGATATAATATGAATCCAATTACTGTAAAAGTTAATTTTTTACAATGGCGTTTCTCCTAAATGTTCAATTCTTCATAAGTCTGGTAAGCCTGTGTCCTTGCTACTCTTTTATCAATGATTAGGATCTCTGCCATGATCATCACCAAGTGTCTTTGGGCTGCTTGCTTACACACACAAAAGATATTGAACGCAGGCAAGAAAAAGGCTCTCTTGGTGCCTTTCAACAATGGAAACTATTCAGAGTGTTAAGGACTACTTTCAGGAACACTATTGCAGGAGTCTGAAAGGATCCCATTCTGTTTTTAAAGAAAAAAAAATTTAGCAACGAGAAAAATAAAATAGAGCCTGTCTTAGTTTAGGGTTTCTATGGCTGTGAGGAAACACCATGACCAAAACCAACTCGGAGGGGGAAAGGGTTTATTTTATCTTACAGCTTGTAGTAGTAATACATCGTCCAGGGAAGTCAGGGCAGGAACTCAAGGCTGGAACCTGGAGGCAGGAACCGAAGCAGAGTGCACGCAGGAGTGCTGCTCCCTGTGTTTCTCCTCTTGGCTTGCTCAGTTTGTTTTCTTCTAGCACCAGAACCACCAGCCCAGGGTGGCACCATCCACATGGGCTGGGCCCTTCTACTTCAATCATCAACGGAGAAAACACACCACAGCCTTGCCTACAGGCCAATCCAGTGGTGCCATTCTCTCGGTTGACGTTCCCAATATTTAAAAAACGACTCCAGCTTGTGTCAAGTTTACAGAAAAGGATCCAGCACAAAACCTGACCCGCATGCACTCTTTCACCACTTAATTTTGCTTGTGGCAGGGAGAGCCACTGGGCCACTCAAGGCAAGGCTCTGTCAGGCAAGTTCTAATACCAGCTCCCACAAAGCCTGCCGCGTTTGGATAGAATCACTTTTCTTCAGGGTGCCCCAGCTGTCTGGTCTATAAAATGGGATAATAAGTAACCCGCCCACACCATGCTCCTTTGAAGTTACCTATTAAACGCTCTTATGGGTGCACTTAAAACTATTAGATGCTACAAAAATATTGAGGGTTATCTGGAGAAGCACAAGGTAATAGTCACATGTTCCTGCTAATTATCAAGCTCATAATAACTTCACCCCTGGGGACCCTGGGCTCCCCAGGGTCCAGACGCACTTTAGAGCTCGCTCATCACCTCAGTCTGGCAGAAAGTCTGCAAGGTCCCGACTCCCGGGCTGCAACAAAAGCAGCTGGCACGCCGGGACTGAAATGCACCAGACAAAAGAAAGTGGGTCGGCTCGGAGCTGGGCGCCGAAGGGGGTGTGCGCCCCGGGGCGCTGGGAGAGCGGCCGAGCCCCCGCTGCGCGCAGCCCCCGCTCCCACCCCGCGGGCTCCTCGCCACGCCCCCGGCGCCGCCGCCCCACCCGGCTGCAGACCCGGGCCACGCCGGCCGGGCGCGCCGCTGGCTGCCCAGGCCCCCGCCATCAGGTGCGAAAGTTGAGCCTCCGCCTGTCACCCGAGGCCGGCGCGAGGCGGCGGTGCGTCCAGCCCCGGGCTCCCCCGGCCGCGCCAGGCCCAGGCCGGCTCTTACCTGCGTCCGCGCCCCGCCCGGCTCCCAGCACCCACGGCGAGGCCGGCTCCGGAGACGGGAAGCCACAGGAGTCAAACCCCGCGGAAGGCGCCGGAGCTGCTCCAGCAGTCCGCCCCCGTGGCCTGGGATTCGGCGCCCAGCATCCGCCTGCACGCCCGCTCCGCTTCTCCCACGAGCCGCGCGTGGGCGGCGCCGAGCCTGACCCCGCGTAGACCCGCCGGCCGCGCAGGCCCCGCTCGCACGGCCCCCGGGGGCCGTGGGAAAGTTTCCCCCCTCTGCCCAGCCCCTCGCCCGAGCAACCAAAGTCTGCGCCTTCTCCCCCGTCTTCACCCAGCGCCCCTGAGTGCAGGCTCTAAGCTCTCCGCTGGGTCTGCTCGCAGCTTCAGATCAGCAGGCGTCCTGGCCACCCCTCCTCATCCCTGACTGTAAAGGTGGCACCACTACCTGGGTTCAGTTTTCCCTCCCGATGTGGCTCTGTCGCTTACCTTGTGGTGACTGGGGTTCCACCCATGCGCAACCGAGATTAGCCGCTAAAGGTGTCTGACTCTTGGCAAATTACAGTTGAGAGGTGAGTTGGTGAGAGGTAAATTGTGAGTGCTATTCAGGAAGTGAAGGGGCCCAGTGGAATGTTTACTAGTCAGTCTATAAACTGGGGATTCGGAGCAATTAACATCGCTAATCAAAACACTGAGGGTCCGAATCTTCAAAGCATGTTTGATAAATCGGTTTCGGGAATAATGATCAAAAGTGGGAGGAAACCCCCGAATATATCTTCCTTTCACTGGTGAACACAAAAGTTTGCATTTGCCTGAAGTGTCTTACTTTGGCTTTCCAATGGTTTCTCCTTCAGGAAGTGAAATAGCAAGCAACCAAAACAACGCTGGGCATGGCGCTCAAGCTCGTAAACCTGGTAGCAATGTTCGGATAGGCCGAGGCAGGGGGATTGCCAGGAGTTTAAGACACACAAATGAAAGAGTTGAAGGGCAGCCTGGGTTTCAGCAGGCCACCTTGTCTCCAGAGCCAAACAACAGCAAAAACAAACAAAAACCCTAAAGGTGAAAGAGGACATCACCCACAAAAAATGACTGATCAACATTCCTATGTTTCCTAGATATTAAACAAAGATGCTTCATAAAATACTAGCAAAGGAACTGGAGGGATGTTAGCACAGTATGATGAGGTATGGTTTACCTCAAAACCCCAAGGGAGGTATAACACACAAAAGCAATATAGCATCTCATTTTAATGAACTAGATAATAAAATAATGAAATGATCCTCAACGGACAAAAAGCTGGTGAATTGATACAGAGTCAAAGACAGGAAAACAGAAAACAGTTTCCCAGCAATTAGTTCACATTTCTTGGATGGAGAGAAGGAGCCCCCAGAGTTGGGGAGACCACTGATTGTAAGGGGATTGGAGTTTTGTTTGGATTTAGGGTGTCCTATCCAGTGACTCCCTCCCCCCTTTTGCTGTTGTTCTGATGGTGTCTGAGTGTCTCTTCTATAGCAGTCAGGAATTGGGTCTCTTTGTAAGTATTGATTTCCTGAGGTAAAAGCGAGCACCCCAAACTCCCCTCTTTTCCATGGCTTAAAGGTATGCAGACACCAGCCATATGTAGGGGGATATGAGTGACATTTGATAGAAATAGAAATGGAATGCTGTGAACAAAAAGCCACAAATAAATGGAGACTTCTTACTGCCTATTGATGAGGGCAGAAAGCCATTAACACACACACACACACACACACACACACACACACACACACACACACACCCCACAACCCTACCTCAGACTTGGGTTTGGGTTTTCTCCCCTTTCTCACATCCTGTAACCTCAATGCCATCCTCAAAACATTTGACAAAATTCAACCACACCTTTCATGATCATGTACAAGGAATAGGTAAGAATTTCTGCAACCTAATAAAGGGAATTGTGAAACAGCCACTGTTTACACGATACCTACTTATGAAAGAATGGTCACTGTTAATTAACTAAAATCAGGAAGAAGGAAAACACATTTATTCCTGCCACTCCTTTTTGGTATTGTGCTGTAGATTTTATCCAGGGCAATTAAGCAGGGAATTTTCAAATAGCGAAAGCTAATAAATCAAACAGAGAGAAATAATTGTCAAATACAAAACCTGGATAATAGGCCTCAGAACTGGAGGACAATAGCACACACACTGTCAGCTTGGTAGGCAGAAATTATCCAAACCAAAAAATGTATCAACTGTGAAACTGTAAATAACATTCATCAAAAAGAAACCCTAATAGCTTCCAGGAAGGGAAAAAAATAGATTATGTATGAAGATTCCAAAGCCAAAGTGACGTTGAACTTGTAAAAACAGACAATCAAAGGTAAATTTTCTGGGAAATTATTTGCAATATTGAAATTGATGGGGTGCAAAGCTACAAATATTTCATCTATACAAGGTCTTCAATATTCTTTTCATACCCTTTTCCCATGCTATATCAAAGGTAAGTAAGGGTTCTGATATAAGAGCACTGAAGGTCACATGCCAAGCAATGAAGACAGGCAAAATAGACACACTCCCTCCAATTGTTCATATCATAACCCCAGAATCTTTAATGTTTTGCATTATAAAACAAAAGGGATTTCACTCTTGTAATTGAGGCTAGAGACCTAAATAGAGAAGTCATTGTGAATGGCCCAGGTCGATTCAATCTGGTTTTAGAAACAAAACCATTCTCCATGTGAAGTCAGAAAGGTGAGATCATAGGTAACTTCAAAGTGTTTTGAAGCCCAAGAGTCTGAACTTCCATTGATGGATGTAGCCATCCATGTAAAAACAGAAAGTGGGCATGGACATCTTCTAGAAGGAAGGATGTGTTATCTAGCCGTAGTGGCAATGCCTTCTTTTCAAAGAGCTCTTGGAGAGCCTTGCATTTCATGAACAGCCCTGAAAGAAGAAACAAGACCAATGTCTTGAAGTTTTCTGCTTAGGGAATGTAAATTAAGTTAGTTTTCTCCCATTAAGTCACGCAATAATAGTCACAAATGATAGGTGACAGTTCGGTAAATCAAAGCACAGGATGTCCAATTAAGAGTGACCTTTGGGGGAACTGTTTCCTCTAATTCCCACACTCCCTCCTAGAGGAAGAGGAAGGAAGGTGCAAAAGGTCCTGGAGCCAATGAGACTCACTGAGCTCAGGAAGACAAAGAACCTTGAGGATGGGTACAGATGCACCCAACAATTGCTGGGAGAAGAGACCTTCTAGTGGAACTGGTGGCACTCTGGGCAGGGAGCTTCAAGGATGGTGCCTTCTGGTTACCCATGTTCCTAGAAATCCTCAACACTGATGTGTAATAATGACTGTCAACCAGACAGAGTAGGATCTAGAATGACCAAGGAGTCAAGCCTAGGGGCATGTCTGTGAAGAAATACCTAGATTTGGTTATGAGGAGAGAAGACCCTCCCTGAATGTTGGCAGCACTGTCCCAAAGGCTGGGGTCCTAAGCTCCACAGTAGAGAAAGTTAGCTGAGCATTTACTCTCTGCTGCCTCACTGTGGATGCAGTGTGGCTAGCTAGCTGCCCCAAGGGTATATTGCCAGGGCTTCCCTGCCACGATGGATTAAACACTCCAATTGTCAACCATTGGGCCCTTTATAACCTGAAATGAAGAAACATTTTCCCCAAAAAAATATCATAACAAATATCTTAACAAATTTACAATCGTATGATCTTCCATTGTTTTGAGGGAAACATCTTACTCTTTAGCAAAAGGGCAGAAATAATTCAACTTTATAACTATTAGATACAAGATATTGAAATTAAATGTCTGCCAACCTTACTTCCCATCTCATCCAATATAGTGACTAGTTGACTAATATTCTAATTTTATATATAATAGCACAATATACATATATATGTACATGTACATAAATATATACATACAATTTTACATATAATAGCCTAAGCATCCCAAATTTTATATATGATAGTCTTTGCACAGCAATACATCAATATTGTTCCAGGGTTCCACCAAATACCCAAATCTGGGAAAATTCAAAATCCTTGTTCAAAATTGTGCAGTATTTCCATGTGTTCTACATATATCCCCCATACACTATTAATTTTTTCAGTACTAGGGATTCAGTACTATGCTGAAATTATTGAATAAAGACAGGTTATAAAATTCACAATCAAATAGTACAGTTGTCCCGCCCTGTCCACAATTTCATCATTGCCCTTACACATGGTAAACTAGCATTCTGCCACCAAGCTACATCTCTAGTTTCCTTCTCTACTTGTGTTATTTTGAGACAGTTTCACCAAACTGATTAGGCAGGCTTTACCATTCAACCCTTTTGTCTCAATCTTCCAAGTAGATGAGAGGACAGGCTTATGCCATCAAACCTGCCTCCATAGACTTCTGTTTTAGATTTTATACATTTTTTATGGGGTAGTGTGCACTTGTGAGTCAAGGTTCCCAGAGAATCTAGAAGAGGCTGTTGGGTCCTCTGAAGATGGAGTTACAGCTGATTGTGAATCACCTGGCGTGGATGCTGGGAACTCAGTTTCTTTGCAAAAGCAGTGAATGTTCACAACCACTGAACCATCTCTCCAGCCCCAATCCTATACAGATTTAAAATGGCTTTTAAATTTGTTACAGTTTTTTAATACAATGTAAATGTAATATAAGTAGTTGTTACATTGTTTAAGGACTCTTGACAAGAAAGAAAGCCTTCAGTGTGAACACAGTTTTTTTTTGTTTGTTTGTTTCCTTTTGTTTTTTTAATTTTCTGATGTAACTACAGATTAAGTTTCTTGGAGTGGGGTCTTGGTAGCTGATTTTGAAGATGATGAAATTGTGGACAGTGTGGGACAACTGTACTATTTGATTGTGAATTTTATAACCTGTCTTTAGTTAATAATCTCAGCCAAGGCTAGAAAATTCTTTATAAGCCTAACACTATGTGCTACAATCAACATTATTTGAGTCCCCAGCAGGATATTTACTTGCTTTGAAGACAGCAGGCAGTTCAAAATAAGAGGTTTGATGTAATGGTATCGATGGGTATAAAATATAGATTTTCCTGAACGCCTCAGTTTGTGGTTGGGACAGTTTCCTGCAACAA